GGGAGACATGCGCAGCGTCAGTTTTCATCACATGTAAGGTGCTCGTATTGTTGTTAGAAGATTCCCAGGCTTCGCCCCTTTGTTCTTCTGATGAAAGTAGAGTAAACGTGAAGACAGAATGGTTGAAACCAGTGGCTTGAGACATGGGCCGCTCATTTCTTATTTCCTGAATTAATATCGAACTGTAAAGGTCGGGATAGATCAGCCGGTATTAGCGACGGCTTATGGGCTGGATGGCCCTGGTTCTATTCCCGGCAGTGAAAAATTTTTCTCTACTCCACAGCTTCCAAACCTACACTGGGGCCCACCCAGCCTCCTATCCAATTTGTACCGGGGACTGTTTCCCCGGGGGAAAGACGTGCAGCTGACCACTCACCTACATCTAGTGCCTAGGTTAAGATTTGTGGAGCTATACCTCCACTCCCCTATATGTCTTCATGGCATAGTGCTTAAGTAATCACGCACAAAAACAACTTTACCTTTTAATGTAGAATTGTATAAGGTGGAAATACACTGCTGGTGGCTTCGACTGCAATGAGGTTTAAATTAGGTTAACTTAACTTGGGAGGGCTGCATGAGAAACCCGCGTAAGCAACTTGGAAATTTGGAACCATCTCAGCATTTGCTTGAAGACAGAGGAAAACCAAGGAAACGTGTGTCAAGGCGGCCGGTCGCAGGAACGTCCGGATGTATGATGTATGATTTCTAGCCAGCAGTCCGGCAAACAAAATGATGATCAAGTTCAACTAAACACAAATTAATAATCACTGTTACCTCTCGGAAAACACAACTCACACCGCATCTCCTTTACAAAAATCATTCGAATGATGATCTGTACGGAGCAAGTGGCATTTGTTCTGAGCACCAAACGAGTCACACAAAGAGGCGATAGACAAGTCTTCTTGACTGTGGCGCCGTATAATCTGGCAGAAGTTAACCTACATTTCAGAGGAACCTGCTGCCTATGTCTCCGTGGCTACATTTACTCTCTTATCTTGAAGATGGAAACAGCACGTTCCTCCGAAACGTCAGTAAACTTCTACCAGACTACACGGCGTCACATCCCAGAAGACCGCACAACCTTTTGTTGAGAGCCACCGCCCTGACGACCTCAGGTACCCCACAAGTAAACTCTTGAGTTCGACAATATCCTGTTATTTAACTTTGACAGCCGGCACGTATAAAGATGCGCTTCTTCTTGCTACAGAAGGGAAGTTAGAGAACTTGCAGGGCTAACATTTCTGTAGGCTGGTGATAGTGCTGAAATGTGGGGAAACGACCATGGAACCGTAAGTTTTCGTGGAACACTGTTCGGGAGAAAGGGAAGGTTTCTGTATTTTGGAATGTAACTCCTTACCCTTGATAATGGATACCGGAGATCCTCCCAGATTCTGTGTATCCACCAAACTGCACAAGACAGTAATCTTCACAGACACGACAGCCAGGGGATTCCCACAGCCCCATGCTCGTAAGGCTGCCTGCGTCAGAAGGCGCAAGAGAAAAGCCATGAATTGATGTCATGGTATTGCATCCGTATTTTACGATATGTACGGAAGCCTGAAGATGGGATGAGAATCCGACGTTGCGGAAATCCTGAGTTGTGTGTGGTGCAACATGTGTATGTGGTGCCACCTGCTTTAACTAAACAAATTCCTTAATTCCTCTAAGCACACTGGTAATTACACTAAATATGCTTCCTTCTTTCACCCTGTAGAGACTGGATTTCTTCGACATACTATACTAATGGCTGTACAGCCCTTTCTTGGGCCTTGACTGCTTTTTCAGTTTCTTAATCTTTTTACACAGGTGGTAGGACTCCTTGGAGGGGGGATCAGGCCTTCTCAGGCCTTTGCACACGGGACAGCACAAACACAGAATAAACGCACACAGACATCCGTGCCTCGAATGGGATTCGAACCCACGATTCCAGTGTTTGAACGGGCGAAGACAGTTCATGCCTTAGATCGCGAGGCCAATGCGATCGGCATTTCTTGTACGTAGTATATACAAACTCAGCTCGTACCTCACAGGAAAAAATTACGTCACCACTACAGAGTCCAACCGGTTAATGCTGTTTAGGGAAACAGTCGCTGTTTACTGTGAGAACCATATGGAACACAGATACACTCTGTGGGCAGAATGCAGAGTTTTGTATGTTAAAGCAGGTGGTACATATAGTAACCGCTGGGCTCCATGAAGCCGAGTCCATCTTGAGAATTCAGTGGTTCTAAAAGTTTGTGACGATGGTATATCAGTACAGTTATCTTGTTTCTGAACATTATCATCGCCCTGTTTTCATCTAAAGCTCGAAAAGTTTCGGAAACTGGATTATGCTTCCTTCCTCAGATGGACGGCAGCAGACTAAGTAGATATCTGGAGAATTTTGTGACCATCCTTTGGTACTGTCAAATTTAGCCGTAACGACATCTGGCGCTCATAATGAGCGGGTGACACAAAAATGCTAATTTTTAAACATTAATAATAGAAAATATTTCTTTTCTGTAACGAACCAGCCTAACTGAATACATCTATGTGTACAAATATTTAGGTATATGCACGAGTTATGTGGGTTCCATTCAAATAAGTACAGTCACCCATTGTTACCACTTTCAGCCTGCTTTCCTTATTTCCAGAAATTAAAAGGAGAATTAGGAGATCATCTGTCGTCTATAGCCGCCCATTTTTCTGTATAACCGACCATTTTTTAGGCATATGAGGCTTATGAAATCACTTTGCTCTCCATGCGGCTGTGTTCCCAGTAATGTTTTGGTTTTCATTGCGGTCCGTGTCATATGAAAGGAAAGCAGGTGATTAGTTCTCCCCACAACTTCCTGCTTTAACTTAACTTGACTGCCTTATTCTGCAGTGTTAGGCTGGTGCCACAAGAGCGCACAAAATGCGTCCGTTGTAATGAAAGTACTTTATGACGTACGTTGCTGAGGACACCACGCAGTTGCAGAATGCGGTGCGTAGTTTTCTGTTTGCAATGGAGCCAGGAGAAAGCGTAGCATTCGCCTCTCTTGTTTATTTCTACAGCGGACGTCACGACGTTCGTTACAACGGACGCAGTTTGTGCGCTCGTGTGGCCCTAGCCTTACAGGAACTAGACAAGACAAACCGAAATATGACTTACATTTTGCACATAAAAAAACGTGCTTCTTATCTTGACTGTCTCCCTATCCGGCCGTGTGTAACCCCAGAACAGCCGATAGGGGTGCTCCACTAGAGTCCGTGAGCTGTTTCCAATTTTTGTCAAAAATGCACAAATGTAAAGGACATTGTGCATGAAGACCTATGCACATCCCTGCGCGAATCTCGAACATAACTCGTTAATATCTGTCGCATAAAAGAAATGTTTCGAACCAAAATGGTGCAGAAAGGTGAAATCCGAATTTTATATTCAGTATATTTTTTCTAATTTTTTAATTTTCATTAGTAATTCAACAAAATTCACCACACTGGCCGCGCTGTCTAAGGAATGAACTGTCTTCACTCCCTCGAATGCTGGAATCATGGGTTCGATTCCAACTCAAGGCATGGATGTTTGTATCGTGTGCGTTTATCCTGTTTGTGTTGTTTTGTATGTGCCTAGCAATTGGCTGATCCCCCGTCCAAGGAGTCCTGCCGACTGTGTATAGGATCAAGAAACTGAAAAAGCGGCCAAGACCCAACAAAGGGCTGTAGAGCCATAATAATGCAAAAGGCAAAGTTATCCCTCTGCTTAACGAATTAAGCACGACGCCATGAAGGCGTATGGGGGAGTGGATGTGTAGATCCACATTTTCTTGACCGCGGCTCTAGTTGGAGGTGAGTAGTCAGCTTCACGCCCCGGCCGCTTTACCCCCGGGGAAATAGCCTGTGGTAGCGACTGGATAGGAGATTGGGTGGACCCCAGAGACGGTCTGTATGATTTGGAGAAAAGAAACTTCTTGACGCTACCGCGACTCGAACTCCGAACCCTCAGAGCCACAACAACAACAATAATAATAATAACAATTAAACAAAATTGATTATTGTGTGCCATCCTGCAGTTGTAGTCCCGTTGGATTTATTTTGTCAAATTTTATGCTGGATATCCGAGAGCGTGTTTCACTTGTTTGTAAAGAAAATCCGAAGTTAGAATTCATGAACTGAGGGTGCAGGGACTGCGCCAGATTTGTTGCGCTGTGCGCGCGCTTCCGGGCTTATTGGATTACATATTCTTTCTGAGTTTCGGCTTACCACGTGGCATTAATCTCGATATTCACATATTGCAGATGCCGGTTATATTCTTGCGAAACTACTCACAGAGCACTCATTGCACGATCATCATTTGTCTCCTGAAATTTTTAAAATACTCGCAACTTCCAGGAACTTTTCAGAAAAAAAAATAGATTTAAAATTGTTTTTTTCTTTATGACATAAATCACATTTTTATACTACGAACCGTTTTTCAGGAAGCTGATAAACTTTGATTTAAGATTTAAATAAAACAGTAGCCATGTTCAGTGTGAGCCGAAGTTAAAAATACAGAATACAATGTACAGACTCCCATAATGAAATTTAATGACATCCAAACATTAGTTCCGTGGATTTGCGATGTGAACATATAAGACTTCCTCATTATGCTTTCATTTTTTTGCGAAATGTTAAAATGTAGCGTAGAGAAATAGGTTGGGTTTGTGGGGACTGGATTGATCTGGCTCAGAACATGGACCAGTGGCGAGCTGTTGTGAACACGGTAATGAAATTTCGGGTTCCATAAAATGTAAAATTCTCAGGTAACTGAGCAACTGGCGGCTTCTTGAGAAGAACTCGACTCCATGGAATTAGTTAATTAAAAGAAAATTTATTACAAACCTCCGTTTATCAAATTTAATAAAATCAGAAATGTAGTTTCGTATGCCTACCATGTGGACAGATAAGACTTCCCCATCATGCTTTCATTTTGTGTGAAATTACATACGGGTAGTTAGAAATGCTAGTGCAAATCGGTAGTAGTTACAGCTTTGTCGACTCACCTCTGTCTAGACGTGACTGGTTGCTTGCGTCAGTGCGTACAGATGACGGTTGGGTTGCCTATCGTGTACGTAACTGAGGAGGACTTTACCGCGTGTGATAGCCCTCTTTATAAAACCGACTTCCCTTCCCACCCCTTATTCACCCTTATCCAAAACTTGACCGACACACTCCCTCCGCTACCAGCTGTTTCGTTCGACGCGCAAGCCTTATGACGTCACGGAATAAAGCCACCAATCGCATGCAACAATATTCGGTTTAGTATTTTCTCCAAACGCCTGATACGTAATAATTTTTATTCGCAAATGAAGAAATCGTACACCTACGTAGTTTCCATGGAAGATGTGGAGACGTAGAAAGAGAAACTGAAATGTCATTTCTTCATGGGCCCCAGACACGATCATTATCTGACAATATCCCGGGGAGTTACATTATGGCCTACATTTTTTGGTGTTCTCTATCCTACACGTATTTCGAGATCCATAGTAATGCTTGTCTGGAGACCGAACAAATATATCTGACTCTTTAATGGCTAGAAAATGAGTTGCAGATGTAGGAAGAAACAGTTCACAAATTCAATGGGAACCCTCTTCATTGGTTTTTCAAACTTCCACACTCTTCTCACATTCAGGTTATGTTCATTGAATTACATTTCGTATGCATAATATTGTAACGGATTTGCTCGAAGCATTTCTAGGCAACGGTTTGGTAAACACGTTTCATCGTGCAACGATGGAAGATGTGTCTCAGTGGACGAATGTTATGGCTCGTTGCTAGGCAACAGTCATTGCCCCAGTGAACTCACTGGCTAGGAATCTCGTGCCTTGTGTTTTCTATGTTGTCTGTGCGGAGCCTATATAAAGAAGACCTGTTGTAGCTTAGATCATGCAAAATATCTCTGTGTAATTTTCGATGAAAGGATTACATGGAGACTACACATAGAAATGATTGAAGCCAAGGCCTTCAGAACATTTATTAGAATCTATTCCCTCTTCAAAAGTGAGCGTTTAAGCTCCAACATTAAACTAACCCCCCATAAGGCTCTGATCAGATCTGTAATGACTTACGCTTGCCCCGCCAAGGAATTAGCGGCAGACACCGGTCTCTTGAAAGTGCAGCGCCTGAAAAACAAGGTTCTGCGCACCGTTGCAAAATTCCAAAGTTGCACACAGATCCGCGATTTCGCACACGGCTTTCGTCCTTGCGTGTGTTTACGGTTATATACCAAAACTGTGCAAGCAACAAGCAGAAATCATACACAATCATGAGAATGAACATGTTCGCGGTATAGGACAAGGTGAAGCCCGACGCAGAAAATGAAAGAGGCTTAAAGTTGGCAGCGGTCAAGCTTACGGCCATTCAAGTGACTAGACTGCCGTTGTAGCATAAGATACATAAGATAGACATGAACTACTTTGCAAAGCCTTGACTGACAGAGGACCTGTATATAGTGCACACGGAATGTGCGATACGTACACTTGACGAAAGGCCAAGCATATTCATAAGAAACGAATTCATCCTCTCGTCAGAGAGGAAGTTACACAAGGACTCTGACCATAAGGTCTCAGTTGGGAGAAAAAATCTCTCGTCGTGATCCTCAAAGGGCTTCATGCCAAGACAAACTGATTGGCGGTAAACCATCAGTCGTAAAGTAACTTTGACTTTTACTTCTACTTATCATATCAAATTATGAATGCCTGAACCAATCCTTATGAAACTTGGTATGTATATCATACCACCTGAATCCATCTTAACGGCCTACTCATAAATCCTTCACATTAGTTTTTATGTCTGTATATGTTTGCTAGGCAACGGCTTGGTAAAACTATACAGCGGCAACGAATACTCGTACACACGCAACAAGAAAATAACTGTGGGACGCGTCCTTTTCTATGCGGTCCGTGTCATATCAAAAGAAAGTAGGAGATTAGTTCTTTCCAGAATTCGTTGCTTTTACAATTTATTTTGTGTTACACTCTGCACGTTTCGGCCATCTTGAAAATAATAATCTGGGAGCATGAACTGATTCGCAAGAAAATTCCTGATATGGAAATTTAATTATATCCTGTAAGTAATTCTTTAAAAGGCAGTAATTAAAACTTATTTCATGTTTAGTTATACATGTCCATTCTCCATTTAAGATTCTAGATGTAAATTAAATACATTTTTTTTTTTAATTCGCATAGTGGGGGGTGGAGTCCAACTGGGTCCACTCGGCACGGCGGCCACTGATTGGCCTGCCCGGGTGATTATGATCGTGGAGAATTTGGTGGAATGAAGATTGGTAGGGAAACCAAAGTACTCGGAGAAAACCTGCCCCAGCGCCACTTTGTCCACCACAAATCCCACTTGACCAGACCCGGGATCGAACCCAGGCCGCCGCGTTGGGAAGCCAGCGACTAACCGCTTCAGCTATGGCGCGGCCAAGTTAAATATATTAATGCTGATGTATAATTCCACAGTTCAGAATTTAAAATTTTTATAAGTTTTTTTTTTACTGTTTAAAAAAGTGCCGTTTTGTTGAGCAGTTGGTTGTACTTCGTTGAATGTTTTTCTGTGTCTGCAATGTTGCCATGATCGCTCGTCAGGTGTCTCTGCCTTTCTGTTGGTGTCTGTAAGACTGTCTGCTTTCCTCGTTATATCATCGAACTAACGGCTGCTACATAATCATTAGCCCATCTTCATTTTAGTGAAGGTCTTCTCACCTCGAGGTATATTACGGATAATGTAGAAGTAAATTTATATAACGCTGGCTTATATAATCGCCTATGCATGATAATGAATTGAAAAACATTGGGAAGGAAACATCCATTGCCTAATCGGGTTACTGTCCCAAAATTTGCATGGAGGGAAGGCGTAAAACCACGATTGCTGGTGTTCCGCAGAAATTGGGACCGAGCATGTGTCTAGCCAAATTGTTCAGAGCTTAAATAAAGCTGAATTCCATGAATACATATGGGTGAGTTGCATTGTTGCTCCGCGTGTTCTTAACCTTGGCACAGATTGCAGCTTCACGCCTCGGCCGATTGACGCTCTTGGAAAGAGCGCGCAGCACCCATAAAATGTAAGACTGGGTGGAGCTCCAGAGGCGTCTGGACGCCGGGGAGAATGTTAACATTTGTGCCCCTTCCGAAACCCGACCACCGAATCCTGGGTCGTCCAGCCTGTAATCTAACCGCTATACCGACTGAGCTACCCCGGCTCTTATGTTGTGGCTAGGCAAAATCATTTCGTACAGATTCCAGAGAAACTTTTCATATCATTGATCTTGAACGCGCTGGAATTTTGGTCCGTTTGGTTGGCTGTCCAAGATGTGACGCACTGTCAGAGACGTTTCGGCCAGTCACTCCACCGAGGCACTTCTTGGGAAAGAAATGTGTATATACAGTGTTTGTTGCGACTATTAGTGCTCTGCCATCAGTGACTTTGAAGATTGTCTTCTGGAATTTGACGCCGTACAATCTGGTATATTGCCACCTACGGCCTGCTAGTGCTTCGGACAATAGTTATGTCCATATCTGACAAATGGAATTATACTGGCATATAGCTAACCCACTGCCTGTATACCTAACGCACAGGCTATTTCGTTTTATTGCTAGTGGGGTGGGACTGAGCCCCTTGTACTGCGGCCTCTTCTGGCATATTGTACCAGCCCCAGATGATAGGTGAGGGTGATTGTGGAGCAATTGGTGNTATAGCTAACCCACTGGCTGACTCCCTGGCTGTATAGCTAAGGCATTGTCTGTATAGCTAACCCACTGGCTGACTCCCTGGCTGTATAGCTAACCCACTGGCTGACTCCCTGGCTGTATAGCTAAGGCATTGTCTGTATAGCTAACCCACTGGCTGACTCCCTGGCTGTATAGCTAACCCACTGGCTGACTCCCTGGCTGTATAGCTAAGGCATTGTCTGTATAGCTAACCCACTGGCTGACTCCCTGGCTGTATAGCTAACCCACTGGCTGACTCCCTGGCTGTATAGCTAAGGCATTGTCTGTATAGCTAACCCACTGGCTGACTCCCTGGCTGTATAGCTAACCCACTGGCTGACTCCCTGGCTGTATAGCTAAGGCATTGTCTGTATAGCTAACCCACTGCCTGTATACCTAACGCACAGGCTATTTCGTTTTATTGCTAGTGGGGTGGGACTGAGCCCCTTGTACTGCGGCCTCTTCTGGCATATTGTACCAGCCCCAGATGATAGGTGAGGGTGATTGTGGAGCAATTGGTGGAATGAAGATTGGCAGGGGAAACCGAAGTACTCGGAGAAAATCTGCCCCAGCGCCACTTTGTCCACCACAAATCCCACTTGACCAGACGCGGGATCGAACCCGGGCCGCCGCGATGGGAAGCCGACGACTAACAGCTTGAACTATGGCGCGGCCCAACCCACAGGCTATACAGCTAACCATTTTGCTGTATATCTGAGCCACTAGCTCTGTACCCAACCCACTCTGTACACTCGTGCATCTAGCTCGCTGCCTGTACAGCGATCCCACTGGCTGTTTAGGAAAACAGCACCCAGAAAGCTGACTCCAGCAGGCGTCCGGTTCGAGCCTTGACCGGGATACCAAATATCCTGACTGAGGTTTACCGTCCTTTTCCTCAGTCCTTCCAGAAACTTTCCTGAATAGTGCCTCAAATTAGAACATGACCGGTTCCTCCCTGTTCCTTTCCAGTTCATTATTCATCAGTCATTCTATCCGAGTCACTCGCCGTGTCACTGAAGGGTCACAGATGAAGGCAAGGCGAGGTTCTCACAGAGACGAGTACCAAGGTCACTGTCTTCCGAGGTGCCACACTCTGTAGTTTGATTCTTCCGTGAAGCTGAATTCAACCTGCTCCTCCGAAACATCAGTAAGTCTACCTACGTGCCAGACTGAACGGCGCCACACCCGAAAGATCATAATCTTAATATTAATAACAGGTTTCTTGTTTGGCAAAGGACTAGACCTAGGAATCAGAGTTCGATCCTAGCAGAGGCAAATATATTTATTTTCTCCAGAAAGCCGACCAGATTTTGTGTCCCACTGAGCCTTCTATCAAGGGTGTAAGCCGGCTGAGGCGTGAAGCTTACCACCCACCTTCTTCTAATGTCGAGGTTAATGC